ATACGTAGATTTGAAGGATGGAGGAATAGACTGGGTAAGCATGTCAACGGAAAGTAAAGGAAGAGCGAACCTTGTATCGAAAGGATTCGACATGCGGAATTAATGGGAGGAAAACACGGATCGATAGTCTGTGAGCCAAAGAACGGGAGGAGATGAAGACTAGCGAATAGAAAAGTGGCTCTTGTGCAAATCTTTTAGCACTACCTTGCGTAGCGGAGGTGGAATAAACAGCCCATCGTTACGGCAGAGTATTCCATCAGTTTGTACGCTGATTTCTTCCCGATGAGCGTAGAATGCCGCGAACTTCAGTTTTACGTACGGACGCCATCCTTTGGATAGTGCGGTGATGTTTGCTGCATAGTATCGTTTGGTATATCGGCGTAGTTCCTCTCCTGATACTAGTGAGGCAGTAGCAATGAAATAGCATTTCTTAGCTGCCGCGAATTTGGACCATCGTGAAAGAAAGTCTGCTTGAGGGATTGTTTTGCCCGGCCGGTGCATGATATTGTAGGCCTATGCAGTTGATGCTAAACTCCACCGTTGAACCATTGCTGCCGTCGGTTTTTAAATCGACTTCTGTGGGCTGAATATGTATTTCATATCAGTACACGGATCCAGCTTCGACGCTGGATCCGTGGAACACAACCTACTTTGGTACATACTTTTATAAGTATTGTGACCCATCTTAGCCTAAATCATATCTATGTGATTGCGCTTTCCTCTGATTTGATTGGCTCAACTCCGTGGCACATGCTAACCAGGTAGCAGTGTCCACTTTCTCAACCAAACTCATATCACTACACGGATCCAGCTTCGAAGCGGGATCTGTGGAACACAACCTACTTTGCTACATACTTTCATAAGTATTCTCACCCATCTTTCCTTACTTCATGCCTATCTGATTGCGTTTTCATCCGACTCGATTGGCTCTCCTCCGTGGCACATGCTGACCACAGAGCAGTGTCCACTTTCTCAACCAAACTCATATCAGTACACGGATCCAGCTTCGAAGCGGGATCTGTGGAACACAACCTAATTTGGTAAATACTTTATAAGTATTGTGACCCATCTCCGCCTGACTCATATCCATCTGTTTGACCTTTCATCCGAGTCGATTGGCTCACCTCCGTGGCACATGCTAACCAGGTAGCTGTGTCTACTGTATCAAATGATGTTCTACCATTACGCGTATCCACCTCCATTTGAATCTGTAGATCTAAATATATTTTGACAACATCCTTTCACCAGTATTACGACCTAAGCTCCCTGCTTGATTAGAATTTGCCGTTTGCTTCTTGCTATTTCTTTCCCCAATCCCTTCTCAGCTGGGCTGCAACCCAGACTGCCGATGTTCGCCTTCGTACTCCAGATCCGGTTGGTGTGAGCATGAAGAAGGCTTGTGGTCTACACCCGCAATGGACAATTTGGCACGGGAAATGGTTGTTTGGCACGGCTGTATCCACCGCTTCGACTACATGCGTCCGCACTCCGGGCCAGGTAGAGGAACGCACCCCCTGCCTTATCTACAAGGTCTTTTAAGGTTGGGTGCCTAGCGTCTAGTCGGTCCCACATCAACGCGACCAACGCCAAAATAACGTTAATAACCCAAATCAATCAACTGCTGATCGGAGCCCCTGAGACCATCAAACGAGATCCTTCAGAACTCATCTGTTTCACAACGTGAAGTGCATATATATTCCATGACAGTTTCACTCTGTTCTGCTTCACCCTATCCGCTTCTGTGCCGGTTTCCGTCCAACGATCTGCAGGCCGCCTCTTGTTATTTTACTCACAGCTTGTCGTGTTTCCAATCATCCCACCATTCATCCGGTATAACGATTCTTGTTTCTGTTCTACTTTCACCGACTTGCTCTCTTAGAGCATTCTGCCATCCTCAACCTTTTTTAATCTGATACCTTGTCCACTCTGTGTTCCATTTGTAATTATGTTCACTGCGACCTTCGAATTTTTTTTGCTTTTGGGCTTGTTCTGTACGGAGGATTATGTTGTACACTTGATCATGCCTATGCCTCACGGGGCTCCGTGAAATATACACTTATTATTATTATTATATAATTGCTGGCCGATTTGCCGCCTTTTTAGGGCATAATTAACTGAAGGGAGCTTATTTTCTGACTGGAAATCGGCTTCTATAGTAGCCAAACACAAGGGCGCTAAGAAAACAAATGTAAAAGAACTATCGAGATGTTAGTTTCAATAACGTACTATGCAAGGTGCTGGAACAGGTAGTTCGAACGCACCTAATGAAACATCTGGAGAGCAACATATTCATGACATGGGCAAAGCATGGTTTCATTAAGCAAGGTTCATGCCTAACAAATCTGTTGTGCTAATTGGAGGATGTTACTGCAAAGATAGATGTGAGTAAAACCGTAGAGGTTTGCCACCTGGACTTCAGCAAGGCTTTTGTTTCATTTAATCGCCTGTTTTTGATCAAATCAAAGGGATTCGGAATCCAAGGACAGTTGCATAGGTGGATAAGCGCCCTTCTCTCACAACAATCATTCTACATGACGGTTGGTGAGGAAAGGTCGACACCAACTCAGCTGATTAGCGGAGTTCCACAAGGCTTAGTACTGGGATCGCTTCTATTCTTTCTTTACACAAACCACCTGCCAAACACTCTGAATTCATCTTGCTACATTTTCGCAGGTGGTTGGTTCGAATAGAAGAAGTGATCCGGAGGGGGATTCAGAGCAAGGGCAAAGGAATGGGACCCAAGTCTTAACGCAACAGAGTCATGTGCTCACAGGGGCATTTGACAAAATGGAGGTTCACTCGGAAGAGCACCAGTTTGCTATCGAATCAGCCACTTGAGTTGAGAACTTGGGGGTAGTGATATTGAACAACGTTTAGTGGTCTGACCAGTGTGCAGTAGCAGCGCGCAAGGCTAGAGAGAAATTTTATCAACTGCGGTCGATCCTAAAATGCAGACGACCGGAAGTCTTCATTTCCGTTTACAAAGCCATAGTCAGACCAAAACTGGAGTATTATGTATAGGCATTGGTCACTCTTATTCAGAGATGTTGCCTGTTTAGAGAAATATCAGAAATTGACCACCAGAATGGTTTACAACCAAAGGGGAAGAACATATGAGGAAAGACTAGAGACTTTCGGGCTTTTATCATAAGAAAGAAGGAGACTGCGAGGGGACCTGATAGAAACCTTCAAAGTCATGAAGGGAATATCGGGGATAGGAGCGGGCAATCTCTTCACATTAGTTCCCCAACAAGGTGCCAGGTGGCATGAGTTCAAGCTGATGAAGAAGAGGTGTCGGCTAAACAAGCGGAAGCACTTTTTCAGCAATAGGATGGTCGATAGTTGGAACCGGTTCCTCAAAGAAATAGTCGACTTTCAAACAACGCAGGCTTTTAAGACTGCACTTGTTAAGCGATGGATGGAACTATTCCCATCTATGGCAGTGTAGATGCGTGTTGGTGTGCCAAATGTTTAGGATGCCCTCCCCTTTTTCACTAATGTAAGTGATGGAACGCTTACGTCTAACAATTCACTCACCATATTGATGAGGTGAGATCCTGTTTCTCATTCTTATTCAAGTAGGCCAGAATGCCCACGTGGTGAGCATACCATGGAGGGAATTCTGGACGCTCGGTTGGCCGCGACCATATTCAGTCCTGTGCAACCTGACCTGACCTGTATACCATTGTTAACCAGCCTACCACATCCACGGGCTCCACACGTGTCAGGATGCTGTACCATGGCCGCTCAATTAACAATGACTGCAGTTCAAGTACGTACAGGAAAATCAATATAAAAAATGCAACTTAAATTGCAAAAAGCACTGATAGGAAAATTACCCAGCCAAAAATGACTGAAGTCCGCGTTAAAACGGTAAAAAATCTCAAAAAGTAATACTGATCGATTAGTAGTTTCAACCGTGAGACAGAACGACTACGAAAAAGTCCATTCCTAAGTATGGAATATCCACTAGTATTTTACACTTAATTATATGAGGCTTCGAAAATGCGACCTTTTCGAGGTCACAAAAAAAGAATAGTGAAACTAGATATTTCACTGTATACAGTATGAAATATCTATTGATATTTCACAACTAGCTGAATAAACAATAATTTGGATCACAAGCTTTTTGAAAATTCAAACCAGGCGTTACCGTACCGCAAGGTCGGGTTCATCCTCGTCTTCATCTTTATGTGTAAAAGGCAGAGGAGTCGCGCTCTGTATGATCCTCTTTACCGCAGGTACTGATGGCGACTCGCTCATCTGTCTGCAAATTGCCATCGTCTCATGAAGTGCACGTCGAGACGTCATTTGAATCGCACCTCGTTCTACTTCACCACCACCTCCGACAGGAGTGAATTCCAGACAGTAGTCGCCCTCCGGAAAAGGTGAAAAACCAAGGGAAGCCCCGTTGACCCCAGCTTTCGAAGAGTGCGTCTGTGGCCGCGCGTCCGGTTGCAGTCTCGTAGTGGAAACACAACCCGTGATTCCATTCCCAGATCGCCACGAAGAATCTTCCACAGATAGACCAAATCTCCGCGGAGTCTCCGGTAGCTAACCGGGTAGATTTCAAGTGCCTGGAGGCGACCCTAATAGCTGATCCCGCGAAGTCCTGCGACTACTGGAGTGACGCAGCGTTGTACTCATTCCAGGGTGGCCATTTTGGAAAGCGTTCAAGAGTATAAAGTGGATCCACCATATTCAAGCTGGGGACGAACATGGGAGACAAACAGTTTCTTGAAGGCTGTGATCGACAGGCCGTCAAACGACCGACGGATTGTACCTAGGATGCTCCTTACCACAGAACATGATCGCACTGTGTTCCTCTGGGTCTTCACGCATGGGGATGACTCCCAAACCCGCTCAGTTGCCTTCAATCGCAGAGAAACGTAGTTCATCCGATAAGGAATATCCGGTGTCTCCCGTCTCAGGCGCATATTTGCGCAGTTCTACGCATTCACTGGAAGTTATCTTACATCTGCTCACTGGAGTAACTTATCCAAATCGTCTTGGCGGTCCTCTGATGCTCTCATGACCTTGCGGTACGCTGGCGCGTGGTTTGTAATTTTGAATTGCTCTTGGTATATAAAATTTTGATTGAATACTAGTGAAATATCTACAGATATTTCACACTTTCAGCACTAAACGTTTTAGTGCTTACTGTTACGAGTGTCTAGGAGGTCTACAAAGGTTATATTTGGGTAGTTTTAGTTTTATTAGTTTTGTTCTCCAATTGTTTTAGCTAACTTACCGTGTATCCGTTTTTCCCGGTCGCATTGTTATAACCATTGCACTTTTATCAATGATTTCCTCACAGAGTAAAGATCATTGTGGAGGCACCCGTTGCAGTCTGTATGCAGCAGAGGGCATTCGGTGCAACGGATGTAAAAAGAAGTATCATTAAGTGTTCACTTTCAGCAAAGAAGAGGTACCTCATATAAATTCAGAAC